TGGAGTACCCATGAGGCAGAAGAACTGGAAAAGCAGGATGTGGCTGCCCTTGGATTGTCCAGGAGCCAGATAGGTGTGTCCTTTGAAACACAAGCCAGAGAAAGGAAAACATTACAAAGCAGAGAGGGTTTATTTAAAAACAAAAAAACAAACAACAACTTGAAACAAAAGCTATACTGATTATAGCCCAAGAATATGGGGAAAGGGGAGAGGGAGGGAAGGACAGGTGAAGAATGTGTGGAGGGAGGGTGATTGGTGGGACCATGCCTATGGTGCATCTTACAAGGGTACATGTGAAACTTCCTAAATGTAGAATATAAATGTCTTAACACAATAACTAAGAAAATGCCGTGAAGGCTATGTTAACCAGTTTGATGAAAATATTTCAAACCGTATATAAAACCAGCACACTGTACCCCATGACTGCATTAATGTACACAGCTATAATTTAATAAAAAATAAAAAACGTTTTTGCTTCTGCATTTTAAAAGTTAAGATTTATAATTAAATAAACTATAATATATCCTGGAGGAAATGGTCAACAACAAAACAGAAATATTGGATGTATCTAAGGAAAGAATCAAAAGCACAGATGAAGGAAGAATTTACATGGAGTACACATCAGGCTGCATTTAGCCACTACTTTCACTGTGAGTTTCTGGATAGATGGGAGATAAAGGAAATAGTCACATAAATCTTATAATCAGAAAGGAGAAACAGATCTTAGAGAGACAATTTTTTTGTCTTCTTCTTAAATTCTAGAAGAAAATTTGTCCATAATACATCATGGAAGGAGTATTAACTGATGCCATTCCCAGTTGCAGTTTCACTCAGCAGCTGCCTAAGGATTCTCTGTTCAATTCACTCTTCCTAGACCCCTTCCTAGGAAGTTCTTACTTAGTACATCTTAGCATGAGAACAATGTGTCCATAGTAGATTTTTCTTTAACACAATAAATTTGTATAGAAATTAAGAACTTACAAGGAGTTTTTCCATCTATTGCTTCTTTTTAATTTTAATAATCTAGGGAAGTTCATCAGATTTATCTTAATGCCGGAAAGTAAATTTGTACTTAAAGATGTGAAATGACTTATGACACAAAGTGGGATGATGTGAATACATGTAGTTTCAGGTAATACAGAGCCATGAAAGTTGAAATTTTAAGTCTACTAAAAATTTTTAGTGTATTGGAAATCATGCTAATGTGATAGAAAGAGGTTGGGGGGGTCTCAGATTAATCAGGTATCCACTTATTAGATGACGTTTGTTTCTGGTACAGTACCACTCTTCACTCATCACCTGAGGTTGTGTGCAGAATCACCGAGTTCACCTTCTTTGTGAAGTCTTCATAGTACTCACACCTTCTTCCAAATATTCTCTCTTATTTTCTAAGGCAGTCCCCAAGCCCTTTCATATATAACTTTATCATTTCTTTCCACAATTATGGGAAATTCTGTGTTATGTAATAGTCCAGATTATAAACTCTTAATGGCCAGCTAGTGTTAATCATTTTAGTAGTGCTGGTCACATCTAATGATTAAAAAAGCATTAAAGGAATGTGTTTTTAAAAGTTTCTATGTTGCTAGGAGAAACACAGGACATCTATCTATTTATCCATCTTTATTTGAGGACAAATTTTCTAAAGTAGAGAAACAGGTATTGCTGTGAATCACTTAGTTCTGAAGTGATGACTTGCTTTTAATTTTAGATGAGGCAATTTTCATGTAAATGCAAATTTAAGCTCCTTATTAAATGCACGGATACTCCTGATCAAACCATCCCAAATTTAATCTCTCCCGCAGAGGCTTCCTTCTCTCTAGTCCATTTTTTTTTCTTTTACCAATTACCATTTTGTGCAACAAATTATTTTATATCTCTAGATCAAGCCATTCCTCCCTGCTCAATAGGGCATCTAAAGTTGGTTAAAGAATCTAATCATGTTTTTAGGTTCTGTTAAAAAAAAAGTTCTGACATTAAGATCTGGAACAATTCCTTCCATATATTTAAAAAATTCATTAGGAGAAAATTGAAGCTCAGGAAGATGGAGTGACCTGCCCATGGTTATCACATAACCAGCAAGTGGCCAATTTAGAAGAACATACCGCTTCTGAATGCCTTCTGCTCTTTATGCCCGTCTGTGTTTCTCTGCCTATTGGACTACCTCAAATGCCAAACTTCTAGGATACTCCAAAAGTTTGGGATGTGGGGGCTGACGATTATAGTTGTGTACAGCAGTTTGAATGAAGGCAAGGTGGTAGGCCACCTACAATAAGTGGTAGGCTGCTCCCTGAGAAAACAGGAATGAAAACATGCAAAGATAAACAAATGTGTTTAGGAACCTCAAGAAGTGTCTGGCTGAACATGTCTTAATTCCAATTCACAAAGCTGATTTTCATCCTTAGAAGCTTATGGGAAAGGGTGGCTAAGTTCTGGGGGTAATAGCACAGTGCAGCTTTCTGAGCTTACACTGAGCATGCCAAGTTATGAAATGGAGCCAGTTGGGAAAAGGAGCACCTTCAGGCTGGATTACAAACACAAGTTGGGAAAAGTCATACTTCTTGGAGATACATTTTATGTTTAATCAAAGTAGTTTTTCATTTGTGTGGACATTTTGAGGCATGACTAACCACTGTTACCTACTGCCTGCTGCTGTGATATTCTGCTCTGTTCTCCAGTGGCTTTATGGGTTAGAGGTAGAGCACAGACTCTGGAATCAGGTTGATTGGGTTCAAATTCAGCTCACCTCCTTCATTTATACAGCAGTGTTAGAAAAGCTCCTGAGCCTTCATTTGTATATAAAATTTCAGAATAACAATGCCCAAGGCTCAGTTCAAGTTATAGTACACCCTAATATTGTGAGCAGTCGGACAGAACCTGCCAAAACAATGCAACCTAAACATTTGTACCCTCATATTGATCTGAAATTTAAAAAAACCCACATTAAAAAAATGTACCTTCAATTACCGAAGGAACTATATACATCAATGCCATTATTAAGTAAGTATTCTAAATTGAAAAACCCTATTTGAACTGCGATTCTAATAAAATCTAAACAAAAGAATTTTCATTTAATAAATTTTGTATGTACTATTAATTATTGGTACTTTTCTAGCTAGAACATTTCTGATTTTATATTTCAGTATTTACTGTCCCATATCAGAGAGCTGAGTAGGGAAAGGGGAAGTCCTTCTGAGCACTCAAGCCATATTGTTTGCATGTAAATCTAATTGTGTGGGATAGAGACTTGCTACTTTTTTCTCCTCAAATGAGGTTCAGCAAATTTCACTTTTCTCATGAGTAAGTAGCTGCATGATTACATGGGTTCTTGGACTTTAGTGTGTACTATTCCCTCATTTCATAGGCTGGACTTATACAGAGTAAGTTCTCAGCAAAGTAACATCCTAACACAGGTGTCTTAACTCCCAGGGTTTTTTCATTTTTATTCCCACAATTTTGCCTCCTCCTTTAACAGAATTTTGTTATGTCATCTTAATGCTGCTAGCTTTGAAATGATTTCAAATTAATTGTAAATACAATTTATAGCAAGAACAAAAAACATATCTTTTCTGCTTATAGATAGGCATCAGTACCCCAAACCATTAAACAAAACTAGATAGGGCCTTTTTTCTTTGTCCAATTTTTACTATTATAAATTGTAAGTTAAAAATCACCTGGGGAGGTCACTTTGATGAATACTCTCCTTGTTTATCACCAAAATCCATAAATCCTCTTTAAAAAAGAGAGAGAGAGAAAATAATGGGTTATGATTTAGATGGAGCAAGATTGTTAGAATGATCATTTAGGTGTCTTTTAACTTGAGCCACATTTTTTGTCTTCTCCAGATTTTCCTATGTCCAAAGGAAATAAGACCCAATTAGGATTTTCATTATAGTTCATAATAGACAATTTAGGCACAATTACATTTTCGAGTCTGATAACAAATTGATTAATTTGATGTTTCTTCATACATAATAAACTCCATGAAACTCCATAAACTCCGTATTTTGGTTGAATACATGTTTCTTATCTCTTTTTCCATGTGAAGAAGTGTCTGAAGCTCAAGTGGATTAAACTATCTATCCAAACCACATGGCTGATAAATGTCAAAGTAAATTTTAAAACTTAGTTCTCTAGAGTCATTACTAAATTCTCAAGGACTGAGAGGTAAAAATGACCAAAACAGCTTTTGCCAAGGGACTATGATCCAGTGGAGAGAAGGGCACACTCAGATACAAGTAAGTTAACACATTGCAGGGAAACAATTTGGCATAAAGATTCCTACATAGCATGATGAAATCACTGAACATGAAAAATAGAATTTGCTAATTGTAGGCACCCACGAATTCTTCACAGACTTAGTATTTGAAATGGACTCTATAAAATATCAGATTGACAAGGAAACAGATTGGGGTTAGAGCTTGGGGGCGAGGCATTGCTGGCAGAAAGAAACACATGTGCATCGATATTGCAGATTCATACAAAGGCTACTTGCTCTGAAAACAAACAAACAAACAAACAAAAAACATTTATCACTGGGCATCAGATGCTTGGTATCAGGAGTAGGAAATGTACCTGAAAGATACATTGGCATCTGGGATGGATCTTCAGCATTGGCCTAAGGCATTTGCTCTGGATTTTGTAGACTACGGAAGTCATCAAAGGATCTAGCATGGCAGTGGTATGACTAAAATTACATTTTTGATATATTGTGCTGGTAGTAGGCAGAGGATGGATTGGAGTGAGGAAACACAGAAAACAGTGCAGTGAAAATTATTAGAAATATTATCAAGGGAACTTGGGAAAGAAATAGTGGGGTACTCAATTTTGCCAACTAGTCAGTGGAGTTGAGAAAAAGGAATGGCATAGGACAAAAGCTTAGGGTAGAATATTCAGCGGTTGGATAAAGGTGATGAATAGTATGAAGGATCCAATGAGACCCTTATGTTTCTGGATTCTGGGTAGATGGTGATGTGAATTAATGACATACAGAGGTGGGTTTTTGAGTGACTTGATGGGCTTGTATTTAGACTTGTTGAAACTGAGATATTGGTAGAAAAACGAGGTGCAGTTTTGTAGCAAGAAATCCGGCATTTCAGCATTGAACCCAGGGGAAAAAATCCAATAGGAATTTGAATTGGGAATTCATTAAATTATAGGGAACATTCTCAATGTTGGAGCTGCAATGTGGAATACCAAGCATATTTGGAGCTTTGAAGAGCAATGACATTTAAGGGGAGGTGCATAAGGAAAAGCCAAATAAAAAGAATGAGAAAAAATGGCTAGAAGTAGAGAGGACCCAGAAAAATATGTCACGGAAACCCAGAAGGGAAAATACAAGAATTAGGGGCTCCTCAGAGGGTGAGAAGAGTTAAGAATATATATATTTTTTGGAACAATGATGACTCTACATAGCTTCAAAGTAACCAAGAAGGCAAGTGGAAGGAGGACCCTCTTATATTCAATGTCCCCAAAACATATCTACCATATATTATGCACCTGACACACTACTTGGACATCAGATATATTGGAGTAAATAAAGCAAAATATATATTTTTGTGATTTTTTATTATTTCTTTTATTCTCTTTCAAATAGAATCTCATTCAGTCCTTCAAGGCCCCAATTATATCTCACCTTGCCATAAACACTTTCCTAAGCATACTGGGCCCAGTGACAGCTCCTTTCTCTAGAAGTTGCCTGCAATGTTCCACTGACCTTGATCTTGCTAGGTGTTTTTAGTTGTCATTGGATTGTGCATTGGCTTGCGTCATTTTACCAGAAGGTCTGCAAATTCTTTAAAAAGAAAGGGTGTATAATCTTGACATTTCCTTTATAATTCCTATTCCACTTTGTGCATGGTAAGTGCTTAGTGATAATTGTGGTGTTCTCTTCTCATCCCCATCACAGTCTCTCCTTGGACAGGGAATCACAGGTAATTCTTAGGTCCTGGCTCTACTACCAGATAGATTTGTTTTCTTGAGCAAAGACTGCTTTGTCCTTTAAACAATAATCCTTCAGAACTTGCCCTTCAGATTGAGTTAGATATGGTTTAGATCTGATATCTAAGTTCTCTCTCCTAAATTAAGTAATTTGACTATATTTACTGAGTGTCTGAAACCAGAAGCTACTGTCTGTGTTATAGGTGCTGTGCTCCTGCAAGGAGCTATGAAGATCTTTTTGGTCTCTACTTTCATTTAGCTACATGGTTAAAAATTTTAACAATGTATTCCAGATGGTAATAAATATCCGAATGGCACTATAACAAGAAAAAGTGAGAGAGAATAATAGTAGCTGGGAATAAAAGAAAATAGTATTAATGAGAGTAGTCAGAGAATAGTTGTCTCTCTTAGTGGCACTGCAGGACCCAGCACCAGCCATGAGAAATGGACAGAACACCGTAGGCAGAAGGGAGAGCAGGGGAAGACAGCCTGAAGTGGTCATGAGTTTCAGCAACAGAAAGAAGGGCATTTATGCAGAAAGAGGTAAGGTGGAATATCAGGTGCCATTTCTGAGTCTAGAGTTAACAGTAATTTTTTTTTCCATGTAAGATAGTCAACTTTTAGGGTTAACACACAGAAATAATGTGCTATTTTAAACCTGGAAAATTGTCTAGGGAAGGAATAAAAAAAGAACTATCATTGTTCCCACTCCTTGCTTTTGCTATGTTGTTAATATCACAATTTTAATTAAACTAGAATATAATTGGTAATCTGTGCATAATGGGTGGTATTCATTATTTACTTATTACTTTCCTTCTTATTTGCATTAACAATCACGGCAAGGCAACAGTTGAAACATCAACACAACAGGAAATGTAATGATAAAAGAGAAACACCATGAGTTTAACAATTTTTGGAGAAGGATTGCATGCACAACCTGCCCAGTCCGATGATAATAAATTAATGTAAGCAGATAAGTGAGTACAAGAAGACCACTATTGCTTTTATGTAGAAGTAGTTCTTAATCTTTTTTGATTATAGATACCTTTGAGAATTTAATAGACGTCTGAAAGATTTTCCCCAGAAATATGTAAAAATTCTCATCTATACAAAATAAGAATACAAATTTAAATGCCGTATGGAACATTAAGGCCCATCCATGTAGCCTAGAGCATTTGACTAATGGCATGGTTTTAAAAAATTTCTGTACACCAGAATTACCTGGAAATATTGTTTAAAAGCATGCCTTCAGGCTTGGCCAATACAAGATGGGATCAAGGAACCTGAAATTTTTGGTGAGTTCTTCATGGGATTCTAAAACATGTAAACCACACTTAGTCAAATTCTGCTTAGGGGACTATGAAGGTGAAAATTAGAAAGAAGAGGCTAAAGTGATAGAGATTGAAAGCTGCTGGAAATTTCTGAAGCATGAATTTGACCCTGGGGTACTGAATTGGAAAGGTTAATATGGGGAGCATAGAGAATAGGGTGAAATAGTAGCTAAAAATCAGTGCTACATAGGTGGAATAAGATGTGTTAGGATTGGGCACATGGGCTTGGAAGCAGGTTGAGAACACTGGTAAGGCTTTGGGATGGGTGATCTGCCCCTAAGGCAGTCTCTTATGATTAAACTAACACTTAAGCTGACAACTTCTCATTGTCTCCAAGGAGGGTATTATCTCCTGACTCTGCTGACCCTCTTGAGCTACAAAGGCTAGAAAACAAAGACAGGACTCATGACCCCCATCCCCACTGAACCCTTGCCTTCACCACATAATCACGGTGCTTGCACTGGAGGGGGACTCTCTTACTTTAATAATACAGATGAAAAAAGAGGCATCCTTGAGGGAGGGCTCTGCCCCAAACCACACAGTGAGAGAGCACCTGAGGCAGGACCAGGACGGGCTTTCTGTCCCCTGGTCCCACAAAATGAACAAATGCTTTTTGGAACCACTTGATGGGAAGGTGCTCACCCCAAGTGTTCAGGGCAATTCATTCCAATGCAAAATATCTCTTAAAGTAGGGCAATATTTCTCAATAAAACATGTGCCGCAAATTGTCTTTCTAACTCCTTTTAATACGATGGGGACAGGACCAGCAGCAGAGTGGACAGAGAGCAAGGTTCATCTCAGTGCTTACGTGCTCCTGCTCATGGAGCGAAGGATGAATTCGACTGCGTTCTCAATGATCTCCGTGCCCAGGAGGTTTAGAAATTTGGGGAAATCTGGCTCTGGGCTTTTGCCTGAGTCTTCTGGCTTGCTGTCTGGTTTATCATCTGAAAGACAGAACAGAAGCTCAGAGTTGATTCACAGAAACAAAGAAATTTCTTTTTGCATGTAGGGAAATTTGGGGTCCCTTATATCCCTCTTGCATATTATGGAGCCTCATGTTGTTATATTCATTGAACATCTAATGCCTGCCTGGTTAAACTCTTCATATGCATTATATCATTTATTCGTAAAAACAGAGAGGCAGGCTAATAGACATTGATACTTTAGGTAGATATAGGCTCCATTTTGTGAATGAGAAAACTGATATTCACAGAGGTTAAGTAGGTTTCCCAGAGATAAGCAGTAAGTAAAAGTGTCAGGATTGAAATGAAGATTGCTTAGGGTAATAATAATAAAGATGAAATATTGGTGGGTGGCATTTCTTGAGCACATGCCTATGACAGACAATCTAAATCCATTGTTTTATTTGATCCTCACAAAAACTGTGAGGCAGAGAAAATTATCCCAATTTAAAGGTAAAGATACAGAATTTGATAGAGTTTTGTAAGCTTATTCAAAATTATAGAGTTACTAAGTGGAATACATGTGATTCAAAGCCATGTCTGGTAAAATCTGGATTCTAAAGCATGCTATGATAAACTACATAGTCTTTCAAAAAGATTATATAATTTGTACTTTAAAAATAAGATTCAACTTGCTCATCTTCTGCCTTCATATTAGAATAGACTACGGTTGCTTCTCCATTCTTGTGGTGCTTTACTAAGAAGAATATGTTCTACCTTAATACAGGTTAATATAAAGATGTAAAGTCGCCATCTTTTTTTAGTGGCTGAATAGTATTCCATGTTATACATATACCACAGCTTGTTAATCCATTACTAGGTTGGTGGGCATTTAGGATTTTTTCTACAATTTGGTGATTGTAAATTGAGCTGCGATAAACAGTCTAGTGCACATGTCTTTGTGATAAAATGATTTTTTTTCTTCTGGATGGATGCCCAGTAATGGGATTGCAGGATCAAATGGAAGGTCTAATTTGAGTTCTTTGAGAATTCTCCATACTTCCTTCCAAAAAGGGTGTATTAGTTTGCAGTCTCACAAGCAGTGTAAGTGTTCCCTTCTCTCCACATCCACACCAGTATCTTCAGTTTTGAGATTTTGTGATATGGCCATTCTCATTGGGATTAGGTGATACCTCAGTGTAGTTTTGATTTGCATTTCTCTGATGACTAGTAGGGAGGGGGAGAAGGGAGAAGGATGGAGGAGTCACAGTGTATGGCACATCTCTTGGGGGCAGATACAATTTATAAGAAGGACTTTATCTAACAAATACAATCAATGTAACATAGTTCTATGTACTCTCAATGAATCCCAAACAATAAAAATAAAAATAAAATAAAATAAGATTCAAAATAGTATAGTAACGATGATGACAGAGAGAAGTTCTTTTTGTTTTTTCTTGAGACAGAGTCTGAGTTCATCACCCTCAGTAGAGTGCTCTGGCATCACAGCTCACAGCAACCTCCAGCTTTTAGGCTTGGGCAATTCTCTTGCCTCAGCCTCCTGATTAGCTGAGACTACAGGCACCTGTCACAATGCCTGGCTATTTTTGGTTGCAATTTGGCCAGAGCTAGGTTTGAACCCACCACCCTTGGTATATGGGGCCAGCACCCAACTCACTGAGCCACAGGTGCCACCTGACAGAGAGAAATTATATCACTTGCATATCATCTAATAGTTTTATAAATAATGATTTAAGAAATGCTACCTAATTTTGCCTTTGACCAATCTTATGGGAAGTGTGTTTTTTAGCTTATTGGCCTTAGAAACTGTAAAGATTAAGTGACTTGCAGAAGATCTCACAAAGAGTAGGAGAAGATAGAACTGTAGCTGCAGGCCTCTACATTTGAGTCTTCACCCAGTGCTTTTGGATGGAGGGTCAAGGATCCAGACAGTGAGGTCATTTAAAAGAAAGGCTCCTTGGAGTGTGTTGACTTTGCTTAGTGGTCTTTATTTTTCAGACATGTAAAGAAATGGAAGAATGACAACAGCCACTTGTGGCCTCCACTGCAGACTCTGATGACAGGATGAAGTAAAACATTTAGATTTTAGCTTTATTGTAGCCTGATAAGTAATGTTAGCAGATTTGGCTAATAAAAATACAAGATGCTAAGTTAAATTTAAATTTTGCATAAATAACAAATACATTTTTAGTTCTATAAGAATGATCTGTGCAGTATTCAGGACACACTTACACTAAAAGATTATTCATTGTTCACCTGAAATTCCAATTTAACTGAGTGTCTTGTATTTTACCTGGCAAGTCCACCTAGGTTTTGACTCAAGAAGTTCTGACAATGCACACCATGACTTTGGATGAAAGAGGTGTAACTGTCCTTTGTGTAGAGGGTGTCAAATTATGTCAGAAGCCTTACATCTATATTATATCCTAAAGTAGAAACTATTAGTCCAAAGATTATCAAACAATTCTGCAAAAATTTATTGTTTACTATACTACAACCGAAGATTTGACAGGAGCAACAGTCTGAGATGTATTACCAAAATCAGAATACAAATCAGCAGGTAGTCATTCATTCGGCTGTTGGTCTTTTCATTCAAAAAGCATTTTTTTGAGCCTACCATCAGCTATGCTAATAACTTGTTGCTATGCTAAGAGTTAAGATAAAAAAGAACAAATTTCAATATGACCTTCACCTAAAGTGCTGGGCAACCAAAGCGCCCTGAAGAATTGGTTTGTTTTTATCACAGAAGGGAGAAGTAAGCAGAACTCATTTGGGGAGTGCCTATTGTGCTGGAGTAGGCTAGTGCTTTCAACACATGCCTTAATCCTCATTCAGCTCAGTAATGGTATAATGGTATAATGTAGGAGAGAACATAGATGCCCAAGGAAATTAAATGACTCACCGAGAAATCACTCATCTAGAAAGTGGCTGAGCCAGGTGGCTGAATGTTTTTAACACCACAGAGTGTGTTATTCACATTATATAATACAAACTCTAAGTGATTGTTCTCTGAAGACTTTTGCCAAGTGCAAAATGAAAATTTCTTACATAAGAGATGAGTTTGTTTTTTCTGTTTTTAACTACCTACTTGCAAAACAATTTAATTTTGTTGACTTCTAATTTTAATATGACACTAAACTCTGGCTTTTCAATATTCAGGGAGCCTGGAATTATTGTGTGTGAATTTCAGATTCTTGGTGCTAGCCTGTGGGTCATCTGTATTTTGAAGGGTAGTAGGTGTTGTGGATCGCATGCTTTGTAGTCCTGCAGACCTGATTCCTGTCTTCAAACAAAAGTAGCCATGTACCTTGCACACAATGGTTTAATACTGTCTTTCAGTTTCCTCATTATGGTGTTGTCAGCACTGAAAAATACTTTACATATCCTCTATATGTATGTGAATATATATGTCACTTATCATAATAAAGCTTTACTGTATTATTATTATTAATAGCAACAAAATGTTTTATAATTCACTTTCTCCTCTAGTGTGTTGGGAGATTATGAAAATCCTAGAAATACTTTTAAATTATAAAGCAATTTGGTATCCTAAAAATCAATCACCAAAGTTAATAGTTAAATATATTCTCTTCTCAAGTATAATATTGAATAGTATGGGATAGCCTCCACTCCCCCATCCCCTCTTAGGACAATCTTGTTCTAATCTATGCATACTTGGCCTGAATGCAATAGCATCATCATAGTTCACAGCAACCTCAAACTCCTGGGCTCCAGAGATCCTCCTGCTTCAGCCTCCTGAGTAGCTAAGACTACTCTACAGGCATATACCACTATATTCAGCTAATTTTTAAAATTTTTGTAGAGATGGTCTGGTGATGTAGCCCAGGCTAGTCTTTAACTCTTGGCCTCAAGCAATCTTTCCTCTGCTTCGGCCTCCCCACAGTGCAAGGATTATAGGTGTGAGCCATTGTGCTCACCCTAAACAGTCTTTGTTGGGTTGGCACCTGTAGCTCAGCAGCTAGGAAGCCAGCTACATACACCAGAGCTGGTGGGTTTGAACCCAGCCCGGGACCTGCCAAACAACAATGCAATTGCAACAACAACAAAAAAATAGCTGAGCGTTGTGGCGGGAGCCTTGTAATCCCATCTACGTGGGAGGCTAAGGCAAGAGAATCACTTAAACCCAAGAGTTTGAGGTTGCTGTGAACTGTGACATCACAGCCACTCTACTGAGGGCAACATAGTGGGACTCTGCCTCAAAAATAAAACAAAAAAGAATAAATAAATAGGCTTTGTTTATCGTAACTTCCTTGCTGAGTTTCTTAGTCACTGTGAATATAAAGAATATTCACACTGTAAGCAAATACAGCCATATGTATTTCTTCAGAATTTATACCTGTATTGCTGACATTTTTACAGTTTTTATAGTTTACAAAGTCATTATAAAAGACCATTCATTTGACCTGGAACAACTGATGGCTCCCACATTTTACAGATGAAAACATTGAGGTTCAAAGCAGTAAACTGACTTAACCAGAGTTTCAGAGTTCATGAGAGACAGATCTGGGACTGGTCTTCAGTGTCAAATCTCACCTTTCCCTTCACTGTGGTAACTACTTTAGGAGCAGAGTGGACATGATGGTCTCTGTTGAATTCTCCAGACTGAATCTGTTGTAATGTCTACCTGTGTATTGTTCTGTCAAGTTTTACTCAAAGAACTCTCACTAAATTTTTGTACTGTCTGTATTTTCTGACCTATCATTCTGAATAGAGGTATGTCAAGAGCTTACAGTTCTGTATAGACAAAAAAATAAAGTAATTGATGAGAATGCAGGATGCTGCCTCTGGTCCTCTGTGTGCTCAGAACAGATAGGAAAGAAAAAGATGCTCAGTTATAATGGAAATATCTAGGAACGTAGGCTTCACTTCCAGGACTACTTCTATCTGTATCCACACTCAAGAAACTTGCCCTCTGCAAACTGAGTTTATCAACAGGTAAAAGATTTATACTATCTGAAGAAAAACCAGAGTATGCAAGCTGAGTTTCTTAACCTGTAAAAAGGGAAATGATAAAACTATTTATTTTACTTAATAGGATTACTGTTAGACTTGAATGAGATTATACATGACAATAACAGTTAATATTTACTACGTGGCTATTATTGACCAGGTACTGTGCTAATGTGTTTTGTCTCTTCTATTTAATTTTCATAATAGCTTTAGGAGAAAGTTAAATGTTCCCTTTTTGTATGAGGTCTAAGAGGTGGACATAGCATGTCTAAAATCACAATTTCAATTAGTAGTAGAGTCAGACCTAAAAGTCATATGCCAGATTATCTTCATTGAACATTACTAGCCATAATCATTAAAAATTAAATATACTTCAGCTCCCAAGGAATTTATGATAGTGACACTATGTCATATGAATATATAAGAAAAAAATCTTGCCAAATTTCATACAGTCACAGAGAACAAAGGTTATAATGGAAGCAAATTTTAATAAAAATCCTAGTTTCTTCGTGTTGGAGGTGAGGCACTTGTCTTCAATGCAGTGCTTTTTGTGGTGCGCATGGGCCTCTCTTTCCTTTTATGTTCTAAATCAGTGCTGCCACCTTTCTCCAATCACTGCTAACTAGTGCACAATTCTCTGGCTGTGATCAGAAGGACTTACCTGCATGGCAGGTCAGGATTAAGACAAGCAGTCCCAGGATAATTGTCAGCCGAAGTACAGAGACAGACATTTTGTAGCACTGGATATTGGTGCAGATAAATTGCCGAGATGCACCTGAAACACTGCTCTATTTATAGGACATGCAGGTGACATCATCTGCTATGGAATTCACGTGGTTGCACAAGATGTCTGCACAGATTGCTCTTGGGTCCCTGCTAATGAGCTCTGACCTACCTTTTAAACAAAACATTTTTCTTATAGGGAAAGAAAAATCCTCCTGTTTTTTTTCCAGTTTGTATCTGTAAATGGCACTGAAGTGAATTTTTGGGGGGTAGTTCCAATGTCAGCATTGATAATAAGATGGATAGTAAGCAAATTTTACCTATCAGAGTCAAGGAGCAAACACCAAATCAGATTGGCGAGGTGGGCCTGTTCCCCTCCCTGGACACTCTGCTTCTTCCCTCATTGAGCTAATCCCCCCCGCCCACACAGGGGTGCCCTTTCACGCCCCACCTGGTGCCTCTGCTCTTATTTTCCCTTCTGTCCTCTCCCTCTCCCCTGAAGCATTCCTGTGGATTCCTCAGACTCAGTTCAAACACTCTCATCTCCGTGAAACCTTCCAGATGACCTTCCACCCTACTCCAGAGAGAGTCTGCTGCATTATCATCTGTCCAGTGGAACCCTTGACTCCACTGTTTGAGAACTAAGTATTTTAATAGCTCCCTTCTTCGGCCTGCAGATCTGCCTACTTATTGACAAAAACTATACATATTTATGATATACAACGTGATATTTTGAGATTTGTATACGTTGTGGAACGGCTAAATCAAGCTAATTAATATGCATATTATCTCACATACTTATCATTTATCTGTGGTGAGAACACTTAAAAGCTATCCTTTCAGCAATTTTCAAGTATACACTATGTGGTTATTAACAACGGTCATCAGGTTGTACAATTGATCTCTTGAACTTATTTCTTCTAACAGAAATTTTGTATCTTTTGACCAATATCTCCCCAATCACTGCCGCCCTGCCAGCCTCCAGAGCCTGGTAACCATGTTCTGCTCTCTGCTTCTGTGAATGCACCTTTTTACAATTCCATATATAAATGAGATCAGGCGATAGGCATTTGTTCTTCTGTGCCTGGATTAGTCCACATAGCATAATGTCTTCTAGGTTCATCTATGTTGTTGCCAATGACAGCATTTCCTTTTAAAAAAAAAAGATTGAATAGTATTCCTTTGTGTAGATATACAACATTTTCCTTATTCATTTCTCTGTCAATGGACACTTAGGCTGCTTCCTAGCTGGTGAGTCTCTTATGGGCAGAGTATACTTCTGAATCCTCAACAACGGACATTGATTTCAGCTTTGACTTTCTTTCCTCTGAAAGTCTCTTTTGTCAGGCAGAGGTAGGTCATCCTCTGATGCATCTGATAGGTCCCTATTTAAATGTCTTCACCAATAAATAGGCTATTGGCTTCTTGAAGGCAAAACTATTTATTTATAATTGAATATATACTACCCAAGGAATATAGCAAACATTTTTTAAAAAGGAAAAGAAAAGAGAAGAAAAAAATAAAAAAAAATGGAAGTTGATTGAATTTAATCTCTCTCCTCTGTTATCAGACTCCAGTGTTGTGGTCCCTACACCTATCACTATGATTCCCAATAAAGTCTACTTCACTATCATTTTTAAGAAAGGAAGAAAAGAAAAAAAATAGTTACCAAAATTAAGTTTACTTGGTGAGAGCAAACATTTGATTTGAGATGCTGCCACACCTAAAATATCCTTCTTTATGGATACACTTAAGTGGATAAAATTTGCCTCAAGTCTAGATGATACTGGTTATCCTGAGGAATGCTATCAACATAAATTAAGTTAATTGGGATGAGGACTTGGGGGTACCTAAACTTATGGATTGAACAAAACATATACTTTGTATATGTCATAGGACCATTTAATAAATGGGAAAATTAACTGGGGTATATATAAAAAAAAGTCTTGTCTAGTGTCTTAGAGCCAAGTCTAGGGCAATGCCTCTATTCCCCAGTCAGTACTCTTCACAAGGCACCAAAAGCCATTAAGTAGCTCTTGAGCAGTGGTTCTCAACCTTCTTAATGCCACAACCCTTTAATACAGTTCCTGTGGGTCGCAACCCTCAGATTGAGAACCACTGCTCTAGAGGCTTACACCTTGTCTGGGAGATTTACCCACGCCTCTCCAATCTATCTTCTCAAGCAGACTCTGGCCCTCTGTCCTATACAAAGGATTGTGACACTCAGGATTGTGAGATATTTACCCACTCAATTAGGAAGCTTTCAGCAAAATGGATTTATGCCATCAGGGTCACCCTTATTGAGCACTATGCTTGCAGAAGGCTAAGCAGCAATGATGTTCAAGTGCCCTCTGTTAGCCACATCATGGATCCTAACATGTAGCTGATTTTGCTGGGAGAGGAGGCATATTCTTCAGCACAAGAGCACTGTGTAGGCAAGCGAAAGATCTAGACATTACAACTTAAGATAATCTTCCAGCTTCTCAGGGATAGCAGCTAGTTGGGATATGCAGGCCAGTCCTGAATCAGCTTCTTCCCATGCTGTGGATCAAAAAAATGGCACAGTCCTGAGCATCAGGATAGCTGGCTGGTCACTAACTCTAAGTCACTGTGTGACCCTGGTTAATGCTCTCCAGGCCCTGACCCTTCATTTTGTTGACTTCTTATGTTCTTATCTCTCTCTTTTCTTGAATTGTTCCTTTTAGCTGGAGGTCTTAGCTAAAATATCTCTCTTGGTTACTTTTGTTTTTTATTGGTAAAAACTTCTGTGACACTCTAATGCAAATCAGATCCCTCTATTATCTTTACACATTTTCTATTCTTTCTTCTTAACATTTAAATATTGTTGCTTAATGATTTTATGTTTCTTCTCCCAGGAGATGTTAAAATCCAGAAGTGAAAGTCTGCTGTGTTCACTGAGACAGCTCTGTTTTCTAGGATAGTGCCTTGTATGAAGAAGCTACCATGCATTACACATTGAATAAGTAAATCAATGAATAATTTTGAGAAGAGAAGCCTGGTGTCTTCTAATAGCGCTGTCACTTGTTATCTGTGTGACTCTGGCAAAAGGCTGCTATCATTCTGAATCTTAGTTTCTGTGAAATTGGGATATAATATAATTTCCTGAATATATATTTGTACTGTTTTAAAATATATGGAGATAAGAAAGATAAAATGTCTAATAAACTAATAAACTGTAAAGAACCTTTCGTGTGTACCATATTCATGACAGTTAAGAAGCTGTGACTGATCCTTCATTGGCACAAGCAAATGAATCTGACTTTAGGCAGAGAAAAATTATGAAAGAACATTTTACCTAAACTGAAAAGAGGACAATTAGAACCTTTTTTCCTCATAACACCATTTTAACTTGGTAAGAAGGTATAAAAATGAAGGAATAAGGAGTGTTTTAATTTTTATGGACATTTCTGTACCCATTGAAAATCATCAAAGCTTTTTTTTCTTAGAACAGGAAAGAGTTGCAGTTGAGTTGTCAATCTCATAGAGAGATTTCAATTTATGTACTTGTAGTTAAAAGCATGTGATCTGGAATCAGACAGAACTGAGTGTGAGTTTCAGATTCGCCACTTAGGAGCTGTGTGACCCAGTCACCTTAAACAATTTCTTCTTGCCTTGCATCTGATACATACAAAATGACCATAATGACACCTCCTGGGGTTATAAAGATTGGATTTGAAAACTTATGAAAGCAGTTAGCACAGTGCCTTGCACACATCAAGTGAAAAATAAATAACAGACTTCTGCTCTGCTCTGCTCTGTTCTGTTCCATTCTATTCCACTTTGGGTTGTCTCAGAGAAGGGAGTGGCACTTAGGACTATTAAGAAGCAGCATTAGGACTAATAATAATAAGAAGAGTATTAATAATAGACTTCCTACTCTGATAGGTACCAAACTAGATACACTATATCAACAAAACTATTGGGAGGCTACCATTATTATCCCCATTTTATGTGACGAAATTTAAGCTTGTATAAGTTAAGCAATTTGCCTTGGGTTGCAAATCATGTGTGAGCCAGGCTTGTTTGCCTATAGATTCGTCTATGCCTGCTCTGTTTTTCTTGTTGGCCCCTGAACAATGTTATGGTTCACTTTATTCACCATTCACCTACTTTTTAGCTCAGTTTTTAATATAGCAAACATGCAGGTAAAACAGTGTCTTCTTAATCCTTGCCAGAAAGTGAATTAGAGATAGGACTACAGGATAAGATGTATGATGCCCAATTCACTGTAAGTAGCAGATAAACAATGAGTATATCTCAAATATTTCATAAAACATACTTATACAAAAAAAGTATTTTTTGTTCAGTTAAAATTAATTAAATATTTTTAGCTGAAATTTAAATTTAACTGACCATCTTGTATTTTTATTTGCTGGAGCTGGCAACCTTACCTGGAGAATCCCTCATTACTTTTTCCTTGTAACTAAGTTAAATAAAGGAGTGAAGTACAGGGCTTGTCGTGAAGGTCACATAAATGATTAGATAGTATATGGAAAATTGAAATCATATGGAAACTGAAAATTATTCTCCAGTTCCTCTTTAATATCACATCTGGAATGTGTTTTTCCTCTGTATAAGAATACTGTAAGCCTTTTGCTTGTTCTTGGTTCATTATGGCTAAAGGTGTAGACAAGCCTTAGAGGGTATGCAAGTGGCTTTACGCAGGGGTCCCATTCCCAGGATAATCATATGCTGAGTAGTAACCATACTCTTTTTCACTTTAATCACCTTTCTAAATGCAGCGTATAATTTATTCAGTCTTCATACCATGGATCCATTTATTAATTGCTTTTTTCATTGGGCTGTACTACTTGCCAGATACTCCTCTGAGCACAGGGAGAGGAAAATACAAAACATCAGTCCCTGACCACACCTTTGTTGAGGATGCAAATATGTAACCAAATAATTGCAATTTAAATATGAGAAATGCTAATGGAGTTGTGAACAGATTCCTATAGAAGACTAAGAGGGAGTGGTTAACATTTCC